ACGGACTGCTGATGTTAGCACCTCTGACAGCTGAATATGTATTTACTATATGAGCGAGCTGTTGGATTTGTCAGCGCAGCTGTCTCTTTGCTCTGTCACAAAAGAAATGGAGCACTTGTGGGCTGAATCATTTGCAATAAAACTAGAACCGGTACAGATAGCATGGACAAGAAGAACGAGAAGGAAAAGAACCAGATGTTCATTGTTGTCAAGCGTTATCAGAGGTCCCGGGTAGTTATCATCCTTTTGATGTTTTTTCCCAGGTTACGACGCTGTGTTGGGAAATAAGCAGGCAGACAGACTCGCCGGTTCTGCACCACTTTGTAGTAAACTGATGTATGGCAAGCATTAAGTTGTGAAGGCCCTTTGGGGATGAGTGAATAGTGCAGAAGCACACAAAAATCATTACGGTCTGACGTGAATGACTCTGCGTGGAGTTACCATGAGATCTAGCTGACGTTCAACACTCAGGCGAAAGGTGAGACGGATTTACAATCAGTTACCGGTGCCATCGTTATTGGAACTCTTCGCTTGCACTGAAGATGGCGACGGAGCACTAATGGGAGTGTCCCGAGTTCTAATTCCTAATTCAACATTCCACATTTTATCAGGGCAATGAGATGATTACGGGCTCGACATAGATTTGCCTCGTGACATTTCGGCAAGGACATCTTTCCATAGACAGTCCATGGAAACAAGAAAAACGTTACGGATGACAGTAGAGAGGGAAATTAAATAGTGTAACACTGAAATAGGATACTTCAGGTTAAAATGGACGCTAGACAGCGGCGCTGTTCGGAGCAGAGGCAAATTTTTTGCTTCTGCCGGACGGTGGCTGATGCATTTTTGCTCCATTTGTAGACTGGATATAGTTTCGTCGCCCAGCTTCTGAGTTGAATGCATGGCGTGACCCTGTGAGCTGCGGATTTCATTTGGAATGTATTTTCGACTGTGACCAACGTGGTGGTGAAAATTGTAGATTCAGAAAATGGTGCGATGCCTGTCGTGCAATGCTGGCGGGGCCCGTATTAAAACTGATCGCGCGGGCAACTGCTGATCTGTTGGCGACAAGTTCTGCTATCATCAATGATGAACTGCATTTCTAATGTTGGACTGTTTGTGTTAGCACTTCAGATGGCTACCGTATGCTTTAATGCGAGTGTATGCTAGATATGCTGAGACAGCAGTCTGTCAATCTTTCCACAAGGGACTGTGATAGACATTCTGAGTGTTTTTCGCTGGCACAGGAGCGGAGCAAAGATGGGGCGACCCGTTTGCTATGATGCTGAAACTAAGACTACCAGACTACCAGACTATGAGCAAATAATCAGCCTAGCTGCAGCAGGGAAGATCACATTGGGGTATCCTTAGAGGTCCGATACATCTGCCTAAACGGCGAGACTCCCTTTGATCTGGCTAGGCGTATCTCGAAGGAGAGCGAGCTTTTAAAAAACAATAAATGGTGGCCGAAAGGACGTTGTGTATGGAAGCTCGCTCTCCTTCGAGATACGCCTAGCCAGATCAAAGGGAGACAGAACAAACAGGAAACACCAAGAAAGAAGAAGGAAGACATGCTTCAGTGACAACAGGACGAACGGTATGATTCGGATGGAAGCATCAAGTCAGAAATGGCACAAACACTAGTATTCAGTCACGAAAGTGACGCAAATAACCCAGACCACAAATATAGGCGGAGACTGTTATCAGTCTAGGCTAGCTAGCAGCAGTCTGAACGTGGTCGAGCTTTTTCTTTTTCTCTCTCAAAAGGACGGACTTGAAATCAGCATACAAGTAGGCCATATCTATGAAACGGATGTGCCTTGAACATGCAGATTTTTATAAAAAAAAAAAAAAAAAAATTCCTGAGGTGGACGAACAACCATAACTTTCTGCCGGAGTTTACAGCCTGGTGAACACAAGGGACAAGAGGACGACTTCGGAAAGTCTTTTTTGTCAGCTATAACATAAAGACGGTATAGATATAGAAGAATCTAACACAGAGCTTTGTTGCCAGATACCCTCGCATACAAGTACTTCTCCCGCAAATCATTTGGGAACCGTCGGTTGAAACAAAGAAAACCTGGGGAATGCAACACATGCAGTTTTCTCCCTTCTCTAGCGTCTTTGTTTACGTTACATTTTCAAATATGCCAGCAGACCTGGCTCTTTCAAGTCTGCAATTCTGTAAACACCAAAGGATTTTTTCTCCAATGTTTCATTAATCCTCTCCTTGATGAACAACTATTTTAATTACTTATAGAGTTTAGTTTCATTAGTTTCCTTGATGAACTACTATTTTAATTACTTATAGAGTTTAGTTTCATTAGTTTATGCATGCACGCATCATACTGTTTACTGTTAAACAAAGATCAAGCGCAGTCTTCAAAGCGCTAGAGAATTTAAGGGTGTCGAAAGGAATTAAATCAAAAGCATTCTAAGCATATCGTACACTAACCACTACTGCAGTGTGGTGCACAAATTCAAGGAAGCATTGCAAAAATAAAACATTAACTGCTGAGGGCGTGTATGTTGCAAAGAAATATAAGCTACACTAAGGAATAATAAAATAATCTGTTCCGGTTGTGTAATGTTGTCAACATCACACCGGCCGTTTCTACTTCCGTTGATATTTCTGTTGTCCACTTGAGTCTAGGAAGAAATAAAAGAGTAACTAAAAAGGAATGAAAGGCGAGTCATTAGGACAGTAGCTGACAGAACGTCCAGACACAGAATCATAGAGACAGTAGCTGACAGAACGACCAGACACAGAATCATAGAGACACTAGCTGACAGAACGACAAGGCACAGAATCATAGAGACAGTAGCTGACAGAACGACCAGACACAGAATCATAAAGACAGTTGCTGACAGAACGACCAGGCACAGAATCATAGAGACAGTAGCTGAAAGAACGATCAGACACAGAATCATGGAGACAGTAGCTGACAGAACGATCAGACATAAAATCATAGAGACAGTAGCTGACAGAACAACCAGACACAGAATCATGGAGACAGTAGCTGACAGAACGATCAGACACAGAATCATAGAGACAGTGCTTGTAGAACGAACAGACATTCAATTGTCAAAACAGCGGCTAGATGGACGACCACATATAAAACTATAAAGACAGAAACCACTAGGTCTAACATTTAGATTTATGCTGTAATATGTTAAAATCAGGTGTGTAACAAGAACAATTTCTTGTCCTAAAATCTTGATTCAGATAGCTCCAGTAGTATCACCATGACGCTGGTCCTTTGCAGAACCTCGCTCTCATCACAGCCCGCCTGAAAGAAACTGCGTCTCTCGTCAGCTCTCGTGGTCTTTTCTAGCCAAGGTGTAACTTATGTCATGTATCCATCTATTCACTGCTCATTCCCTGCCTCTGTTTCTTGGCACCCCACCTTCTACAAGGCCAATATGATCTATATATGTGAATAATGATGTGAATAATACAAGAAACGAACTCCTCTCAACCCAGAAGTGGACATTGTAAAATTTGAGAACACGCTATTGTCAGGTTTAAATGTCTTCTCAAATCACATATTTTCACATAATTCATCTTCTAAAAACAAAGAATACATATACAAATACGCTCTTAAAATAATAACGTTGTTGTGTTATTGTTAAATTATGTTTGTGTTTATTCAACGGATCAACAATATAGCACACGGATGTAACCCATAAGTGCTCCGTTTTTCTTCTAACTCAAGCCTGTTTGAAAAATCTCAGCCCAGTGCACGAACTCCGTTGCACCGGTGAGGATCATGAACACTGAAGTTTAGGGGTAGATGTAACTTACATTGTAGGTATCTTTTGTGTGCTCTTTCTAATGCCTTGTATACAACACTGGTCTTCACTTTCATTAAGCTGTTCTTGGTATTATCGTTCCATTTTCTGTGAGATCTTTCTCCCTTATCCTGCCCTTTGTAAGTCATCGTATTTCTTCGGGATAATTCTCTTTGGCAGTTGGTATGAGATAATGAAGAGTATTTTTAAACAAAGAGAGCACAAACAATCTATTTCACATTTTTATTGCCTGTCCTGTTTTGTTGTATCCGTCAGGTGTAGTTATAAAATTTAAACTGACATTTACAGAAGCAAGCAACATTTATCTTTTCTATTGGAACATACAGTACATTGTTTCAATGTGACCCGGTATCGGAGCCTCATTACTGGAAAGTGGGCGTGGGGTAGGGGAAATAGATCCACTGCCCCTAAGAAGTATGTAGTAAAAGTCGACTACCTGGGGTGCTTCATTCGAAATCGGAGTGCCTTTGCCTGAGGGGCGAAGAATCAACAGCAGCATACAAATAAGCCAGATCTGTAAAATATATGCTTTACTTTCTTGCGACACACTTTCACACCGCAGCTCACACACTAATGTGTCGCAGCACCCAGTTTTGAAAGCTCTGCTACAGTCCGTACTGGTGGAAATAACTGTTGCTATTAATTGTTTACCAACATTGCAATCCGACAGGCAATAATTAGTTAACACTTTTTTGTTTTGTGCTCTCATTCACCATTCAGGAAAACTGCTCAAATGTTACCCTTGAAAAGATATCCTGCCAACCGAAAAGTGAAACCATAGTCAGCTTCTTCACATCATCACAAACTCAAACGACAAGAAAACGTTGCGACTAGAGAGACCTCATCAGTACACTACAATAATATACAAGACCACAAATACAAACATAAATACACAGCATCACTTAAAAGAAACATCTCCAAGAGAAATTGCACATTTGTCCGACTAGTTGAATCTCTGACACGGGTGTTACCATCGGAAATAAATATTTGCCATAAACAGTTGTGAACGACAGGGGTCGTAAATAAAAAGACAATATTAGATAAAACTGTGTTGGATGTTAAGTTCCTTATGTGAATTAGATCCTGTTATGTGGACAAGGCGGTTCTCCAGATATTTACGTACTGTGTTATTTGAATAATTACCCAAACAAACAGGAATGATAAACACTTCTTGCCACAGCCGTGCACTACTCCGGCACAGCTTCGAACCCGGACGAAACACGCTTAGGTACAGCTACAGCTGTGGTTAACCCAACACCGTATAAGGCTAAAGCGTTTTTGACCCGCCATTTTGGGCTAGTTTCTCCCCACAACCAGTACTTGAAGGCTCGACGAATCTCCCTGTTGAAAAATCCATACATTAGAGGATTAACTGCCGAGTTAATGAGCAAAAACCACAGAGTCAAGTCTTTGGTCCACTGGGGGATGTTAACACATTTGGTCGATTGCAGTATTCCTACAATAGTGTGCGGGAGCCAGCAAAGAAGAAATACAATGACTAGAAGACCCAACCAGAAAGCAGCTCTTCTGTCTTGTTTAACCAATAAACTTTTAGCCAGTTCCTCGCCGCATTTCATTGGCCGAATGGAGTTGTTTCGTGGCGTCCAACTGAACCTTCTAGATTTATGCCCAAGACGCGAGTTCATGTTTCCAAACAGGGGAGACGACGCAGCAGATCTCAGAAGAACTACATCGGCAGAGTTTCTTCTTAATGTACTCATACGAGTGTGAAACCGTCGTGGGCTTGCGCCGTTTAGGAGATGAATACTTTCCTCAGCAAAAAAGCTAAAATCAGGGATTGAAGATACCGACGTTCGTCTTTCATGCCATCCAATCCTTTCTGATGTTGAGACAGATCGCCGAATTTGAATTTGCTTTCGCTGAAGAATGCCTACATAGAGGCTGCAATTTAAACTAAGCATGGCCATTAGAGGTAAAAAGTACTGGACAACCGAAGCTGTAGACACAAATATCGTACTTTGTGAGAAAGGAAGTTCACATGTAGTGGGCAGTTCCAACACGATAGAGTCGACACTAGACGTATTCGTGCTTAGTTTAATAGTGATATCGTTCCATAATGTCACCGGTGGAATATGAACAACGAATCCAAATACCCAAACACACCCTACAGCAATAAAAGCATACCGTTTACGCGTTCGTGATCTGTAGGAAAACGGGTAGTGAATGGACCACCATCTGTCCCCGGTGATAAGCACCAGGCTGAGTAGAGAAACATACAGCGCTGATTGTCTCAGGATTAAATAGAAACGGCACCAAAATTCCGGTAGCCAATCGCCTTTAGTCTTTAGTTGCTGAAAAATTGCCAGGAACATGCACAGGCCAATCAGGAGATCAGCTAGTGCCAGACTGGCTAAATAAATGTTCTTGCAACTCCTCAAAGATTTCTTCATTTTGAACATCCACAAAACCACCATGTTGAAGGTAACTGTGGAGACAGCCAGGAAGACGAGCGGGATGGCTTTTGCCCACATGATGAGAAACTTAGGCCTGAGATCACCGAGCAAATCCACGTCCTCCATTGTTACAGTCGACACCCACGGGTATCCTTCTGTTTCCATGTATATTTGTCTCTCATGACAAATGAAGCCGTAGGATTGTTTGAAAATTAACGGCTTTTCCAGTATCTTCCTTCGCAGCTAATATCATTTTTCTCAATCCACGTGCATAGTGTTTTGAATGCAGTCGGTACCGAAATATATCCTTCCGTTGCCATGGAGCGATTACACTGGCCAGACTTTGAGTGAGATGGTTTCAAATTTAACGGTTTGTTTAGAACTTTTTCTTGCAGGGGAGATACATTTCCTCTGTCTGAGAAAAGATACGGTCATTTAAAAATTCGCAACGCCGGCACTAAAAATTCAACAACAAAAATCACGCAGGAGATAAGGGAAGATACTCTTACACCAACTGAGGATTTCAGAGCCTCAACTTCCGCTCTCTGCAGCAAGACCAGGTAGCCTTGATAAACATTTGCTGTGCATTTTGCAACTTTCTTTGTCACAACGAAAGTTTATCTAAACACTTTTATTGGACTATACGTACACTGATTTCTCAATAAAAACGCCACATCCTAGCCTAATCAGAAGTGAATTTAATTCTTGACAAAAAACACCAGTCTGTGTGTGTGGCTTAGGCGTTGCGAACGCGCTTCGCATTGCCGGGGCTCTGGGTTCGATCCTAGCTGAGGATGGTTTTGGCAGCAGAATGTCTTGAATGGTTTCGACAGTGGTACCGAAAGCTAACTGTTTAGAAAGCAGTGACAAACTACTTCGCGTAAAATTAGTGGTTTATACACCAAATGTTTTGACAGTTTATGTCTATATGTGCATTTATTTTGCAGACTAGTTGTAAATTATGTAGCTGTTACAAATGCAATGGAAACTCAAACAGGATTATGCTAAGCGTTTGTTAGACAATTTGTACGATTTCTGTCATTTTTACATTACACGTAAATATTATTCTATAAGATTAAATTACGTTCAGCGATTCTTATTTTTCAAACGTTAGGCATTAATTTACTTAACTTACAAATGGACACGTCCATAAATTCCATTATCAAAATAAACTAATTTTCGTGCCTGCAAAGCTAACGGAAAAAATTTTTTTTTTTTTTAAATATTCCGTCTAATAATTAATGTTCCCAATATATGACAATAAAAACTGGTTTAGTTTTCCAGTTTTAGTTCTTATTTTTTTTATGTTTTATTTCAAACTGGCTTATGTAATGGCTTTTATTTCGCTCCCGTCTCTCTGTCTTGTAGTAGCGACCAGTTTCAACAAAAACCAATCCACGATATGTTTTGTCTATGAAGTGTCTTCAACAGTTGCTAGGACAACAGTGCAACTCGTACATGTTGTGTTCGCTGGCTGGACTTCTTCCATGGGGGTTATCTTTAACCCGCTGAAATAAGTATCTTCTCTGGGACCTACCCCATGACCTCTGGTCAGCCGGGTTGTGCCAAATGAACAACTCCTGTATTCATATGTTGGGACATGTCTCCAACTGAAATTTGTAGTGTAAAGTGCGGCTCCAGTGAAACTATGTAATGCAAGATACTTTTCCAATGTCAATATATAGCGAAATGTATTGTCCAGTGGAAATATTAACTACAGATATGCTTCAGCCGGCGTCTGTGGCTTTGGCGTTGCGAACGCGATTCGTAATGCCGTTGTGCCAGGTTCGATCTCGGCTGCAGGCGATTTGACAACAAACCGTCTTGCGTTGGTTTCGACAGTGGTACCGAGAGACGACCGTCCAGTCGCAATGGCAAACTACTACTGAACGTAAATGTGCTAGAAAAACCACAACATCCAAAATTGCTGGTGATCGTTCTGCAACGTCCTGTAAAGTTTACGCAACTAACTGTATGCTTCAGTAAGACATATAGTAGCTTTATGTATGTCTCTAATAGAAATGTGCATTATATGGTTTGTCTCCAATGTAAATTTTTAGCGTAAGTTATTGCATCAACACAAATATACAACGTTCATCGTGTCCCCAATACAAGAAAATGTATCAACTGAAGATTGATTTTAACAATGACATGATCATCGTACTGTTGAGACAGCAATAGGAAAATACTGAACGGAAATAACGTAGTTAACCATAAGCAGCCAATCGGAGCTCGGGTTGGTTCACGTGACGCGCCTGAGAGTACTTGCAACCAATTTGTTCTTCTTCACACTGTCATCCAGTCACTTTTGATGACACAAGGCGTTCTTAATCAGCAGTTTCTGGCTGCTGTAACTGGGACTTGCTCGTTCTATAAAATACGTCTCAATAGAGAAATGAATTTACAAACAATTCGAAGGATCGTCTAAATCTTCGAATCTTCAGATCAGTTCCCACATAACAGCATTCGTGTCACCAAATAATTGTCCTTTTCGATGTCAACAAAAACTACTCAGAATGGCCATAGTTGTCCCTTGTGAGAAAACGGAAACAGATTGTAGTCTCGACAATGCCAGTAACATAAACACTCATTAAAAGCCCATAGCAGCCGTCAGAAATGCCAACAAAAACTGTCCGCCACTAGATTTGCAGTTTTTCGTCGATGAAAACAGTGTTTAAATACCTTGGGCAGTTAATATTTTCAACGAACTGTCCAAGCTTTCCGTTTTTTTTATTGCTTCCATATTGTTTTGCAAGAAAATTAATTTATTGTAAAACAGTGTACACCCCGTGTGATGTTTTTATTTGTTGCCAAAGCGGTGTACACGATTCGTAGTATTCGTGGTCTCTCAAATTGACATCCTCAGAAAAGAAATTACAGCTGTGAAACTGTTACATCTTTTTCCAAATGTTACAAATCGTAATTACTATCCACCAATTCTTCTACTATCACATCCTAAAATCCCTGTCACATTAAAGCGAATGTTTTCCATAGCTTTCAACTTGCCAGCTAACACACCAAACACATAATAATCATATTCTCAAACTGAGTTCTTCCCCCTTGACACTGCAGGTAAAGACTAATATCTTGGAAATATTCAGGAATGAATGTTTCTTGTATTACAAATCCCTTCCTATGTCTCATATAAAAAAAAACGGCTTCAAGCTTGAGTTCAAGTTTTTAATTGGCGGTTTGCCTGCTGACAACTTTTTTGAATGTATGGGCTCAACAAAAGTACAGTGCCAGAAATGAAAAGGTGAACCAATCGTAGTAAGAGGACCTTTCCACGTATGGTAGTGACGAGTCAGATCTCTTTCATTGCTGTAAATGCAAGTTCATTGTTGTTGAGTCCAACAAGACAGCTGCTTAGTTCCCTGCTGTGATCTGGAAAGATTAAAACAGAGCTTTAGAAGACTATCAATGATGCAAGAGCCAATAGAAGTAAACAATGTAAAACAAAGGTAAGGACACGTTACAGGCTATTGCTAGACATAAATGTTTTAAGAAGCAATCGGTACTTGAAATGTGATGTAGTCAACTTCACGCCGTCTGCATTTACTTCCCCATGATTACCTAGTACCCATTATAGATGTCGACCTGTAATGTAAAAGTCAAGGTCATTTGTCATTTAAAAAAAAATGCATAGGGATTTGAACTGTAGGCATTCGGGCAGACAGATAATTGGTAGTCGCTTTGTTGACGCAGCTCTCATCAAATATACGTAACTACGTGAAAAAGATCAATTGTGTCTTCTTCTAGGTCAATTATATATCGACATTCCGTTTTTGTGTGTGTCTAATTTTCTATTGCACGCTGTTACTTGAAGAAATAAACACTCCTGCGATGTCAAAAATAGCATCCATAATGTTAGATCCAAAGAGCTAGCCTCTGATACCCGGTTCAGCCTACTTAAAAGTTTCAGTGTCTACACCAGTCTGAAAGAGTTTGAAGTCCTATAAGGGTAAAGCTGGTAGCGAGAGTTGTATTCATGCTGGTCACTCCTACTCTTTTTAGTATCTGTTGGTATCCTTTTTAATTACTTACGTTGTGCCAAACAGTGTTAATGTTGTGAACTGGAGATTCAGACAATGGCGAGTGGTCTGTTACTAGAGAACTAGTGGTGCCTTGTGTGATTAATTGCGTGTGCAACTACTGATCTCCTGTAACTGCTGCTTCCATCAGCGATAAACTGAATTTCTAGTGCCCGACTTTGTATTTGCACTTTGTTTGTGGCTGTCTTATATATTTAATACGTGTGCATGCCAATGGCTTTGCTAAGACAACAGCCTGTAAATTTGGTCACAAGGGACAGTGCTTGATATTCTGTGTGGTATTTATTGGTCCAGCATTGAGGTAACTGTGGTATGACACTTTTGCGTTGAAGTTCGAACTGCACCATCATAATTTCCTGACATTACGTTAGTCTTTTTGACCTAAATTTACTTGAGTTTTGAGGTTTAAACAACGGATCAACATCGTGGCACACGGGTTGCAACTCATTAGTGCTCCGTTCTTCTTCTAACTCAAGTCTGAATCCGAAGAAGCTCAGCACATTGCACACGCTCTGTAGCACCGGGAAGGATCCTGAAATACTTTGGGTAAATTTTTTAAACTCTAAACTTTGCCCGGGCAGCGCCGTTAGGCTACTCTTTTCAACTTACAACTGCCAAGGGATTTTTTTTACGTGCGCAACAATGCACACGGACGTCCGATCTCACCACCCAGAGACCAGGGGGAATTACTAGAAGTTCAAGTCCACGTGAAAAAATCCCAGCCCTTACCGGGGATTGAACCCGGAACCTCTAGCACTTGAGGCGGACAACATGTCTCGAGACAACAAAGCCCCCTATACTAACTTGACTATGTAATTTCAACCCACGTAATTATGCCCCTCACTCTCTCTGAACAGCAGGATACGTATAGAGAAGCAGTTCTCAATCTGCCGGTCGTAACCCTTTATTGGGTCGAACAATCCTTTATTGGGTCGAACAATCCTTTATTGGGTCGAACAACCCTTTATTGGGTCAAACAATCCTTTATTGGGTCGAACAATCCTTTATTGGGTCGAACAATCCTTTATTGGGTCGAACAATCCTTTATTGGGTCAAACAATCCTTTATTGGGTCGAACAACCCTTTATTAGGTCGAACTACCATTTATGGGTC